CATCCATATTCCCAAATATTGTTTATAAATGTTCTTTTACATTTAAAGGGGGATATGATATAGATATGAATAATTTGCATTGGTATGGATTTTAAGGTCAATTTTGTTATATGTATATATATTTCTGATCTTGATTGAGGTATTGTGATTGTGTAGTTCATTTAAAAATGCAATGTATAATTAAAAATATAGGTTGTTAATGGATAATCATTGATAATAGTCAAGCTTGTAGTAATGTTAGTTTGATTTTCTAGATGTGCATAGATATATTTAAGATAGGCATTCTTCATATCTTTCAAAGACTACAGAACATGGCATTTAACGTTTTAATAACTTGGGGCTTTTCATGACAATGAGACACATCTGCTCCTGGCAGCACCAATCTACTTCAAGAGGAAGATGGGCATCGAAGAGGCTCCTTATGGAGTTGGTTAGCCATTTGGGCGAGAAACTTCTCTTGCCTGGACAGTTATATAAACTGGACACAGAGAACCCGCAGAGAGAGGATTGTTGAACTTGCCTAAAGGTGAGATGATCTTTCAGGGTTCCTGATTTATGAAAGAGTCTGCGAGACATTCTGCAAGACACAGCAGATAGTGACTGAACTGCCTTTGAAATTTCCTGCTTCATGGAAATGTCTGCTGGGTACGATGGGCCTGAAGGCCAAAAATGGATGCCCCAATGATACAAAGAAACTTTGGGTGACTGTCCAGGCAGCAAGATGTCTCTGTCATTTCTAGAGTTTTGGAAGATACTTACTTCTTGTTTACTTAGGTAATATTATATCCTTCTGGAGTCTTTGATGGAGTTGAAGAATGGTTAGTTATAGTTTTCCATTATTATGATAAAGATAAAATAGATATAAATATTTTAACTGTAATTCTTACTTGATAACTGTTTTGTTATATGTAATTTTACTATGTTAAAATGAAAGCCTTTCTTTTTTGTTTAAACAGAAAAGGGGGAAATGATGGAGGAGGGTTATCTGTCTATTGTGTTATTTTCGTTGGTTAATAAAGAGACTGCCTTGGCCCTCTGATAGGACAGAAAATTAGGTAGGCGGAGTAAACAGAACAGAATGCTGGGAAGAGGGCAATGGGGCAGACGCCATGGAGCCAGCCACCAGGTCAGACATGCTGAATCTTTTCCGGTAAGCCACCACCTAGTGGTGCTACACAGATTATTAGAAATGGGTTAATATCAAGATATGAGAGTCAGTAACTAACTCTCTAGAGATAATGGGGCCAGGCAGTGCTTAAATGAATACAATTTGTGTGTTGTTATTTCCAGGGCTAAGCTAGCTGTGTGGGAGCCGGGCGGGATGAAAAGCAGGCCTGCCCGCAGCTCCATCACTACAAACCCTGTCTTGAAAAACAAAACAAAACAAAAATGCAAAATATATGCAAAGCACAGTCTAGGTGTGTCTTTCGGCTAAAGACTCCCAGTGTTGCTGGGTGTTTATGGCACAATCTTTAATCCCAGCAGTAGGGAAACAGAGGCAGTCAGACCTCTTTAAGTTTGAGGAATAGACTCTACAGAGCTAGTGCAAAGGTATAGAGCTGTTCCAAAGGATAGTCGAGGATACACAGAGAAACCTTGTCATAAAAACAAACAAACAACAAAACACAGGCTGGAGAGATGGCTCAGTGGTTAAGAGCACTGGCTGCTCTTCCAGAGGACCTTGGTTCAGTTCCCAGCTCCCACATGGCAGCTCACAACTGTCTGTAGTTTCAGATTCAGGGGATCTGGCACCCTCACACAACCATACAAATAAGCAAAATATCAATAAAATAAATAAATGATAATAAAAAAAGAAGAAATAATCCCAGTATTGTGTCTTACTGTTACATATAAAGCAAAACTTTTAGTTGTTTGTTTGACACTCAACTCTCTACACAGCCCTGGCTATTCTGGAACTCACTGTGTAGACCAGGTTGGTCTCACAGACATCTGCCTGCCTCTACCTTCCAAACGCTAGGATTAAAGGCATGCACCACCATATCGAGCAAGCAAAGTTTTGTTTTGTTTTGTTTTAGTCAGTCATTTCCAGGGCTAAGGGTAAACCATAGCTTTTCTGGTGAGGTTGTATTCCCACCAAAACTGGGTACCACACAAATTTATTTAAAAAAAAAAAACAGTCCTGGGGTATGAACAAAGGCAGAAAACAAGTATTCTTTCTTTCTTTTTTTTTTTTAATTAAACTACCAGGCCGTGGTGGTACATGTTTTTAATCCCTGCAAAGTAGAGGTACAGGAATCTCTGAGTTTGAGGCCAGCCTGGTCTACAGAGCGAGTTCCAGGATAGTCAGGGCTACACAGGGAAACCCTGTCTCAAAAAAAAAAAAATGTTTCCTTATTTGTTTGAACCCATTATGTCAAGAGGAACTGGAGGCACCAAAGCCTCTTGAGTGGGGCTTAAATTCAGCAGGGCCTCTTGGGCAGCTTCTTTAAGGACAGGTACCAATGGAGTTAAAGGCCCATCCACCAAAGTGCATTTTCCCCTCGGCAAAGGGGCAGAGTCCTGTGTCTTAGAAACCCCACTGCAGAGGGGTTTCCAAGTGCTGGTTTCCCCTAGTTGTGGGAAGCACTAAAAACGTTAAAAGCCCAGGACTTCAAGTTTGAGTTTATATATATTGGTTTTTTGAGACAGGGCTTTTCTGGGTAGCCCTGGCTGCTGTTCTGAAACTCCCTCTGTAGACCAGACTGTCTTTGAACTCACAGAGACCCACTTATCTCTGCCTCTCAAGGGCCAGGATCCCTTTTCTTGCTCTCCCTCTATTTATTTATTTTACTACCCTTGCTTTTATCAACTGTTTCAGTCTGCTTTGTGTTGCTCATATCAAAATATTTGAGATTTGGTATGGTGTGTGTGTTTGTGGTTGGGGGGTAGCATACAGCTTAGGAGTCAGGGATGTTCTGACAAAACTTCATGGTAGGTGAAACCCATGGAAGAAGAACAAGGGAGGGAATGTGAAGAACCCCAGAGCTGGCTTTTATATCCGCCAGTTCTCAGTCATGAAACCAGACCTGCCAGACCCAAGTCACTCCCGTGAGATCTAACCCAGTCCCGTGAGGTGAAATGCAGTTTCTAGAGAAAGGCACTAATCCATTCCTCGGGGTTGGTGTCGCCATTACTCAATCACTTCCCGAAGACCCCACCTGCTTACACTACTGCACTGAGAAACGAAGGGTTAATGCGAGCTGTGGCTTAGAGCAACAGAACCCAAACCATAGCAATCCGCAGAGACTGGACAATAGAACTCGCCCATTTAAAAAGCTGCTTGGGGGCTGGAGAGATGGCTCAGTGGTTAAGAGCATTGGCTGCTCTGCCAGACAACCCTGATTCAATTTCCAGCACCCACATGGCAGCTCACGACTATAACTCCAGTTCCAGCAGATCCAATATCTTCACAACAATACACCAATGCTCATAAAATAAAATCAAATAATTTTTTTTTTAAAAAAAAGTTGTTTGGAATGCTGTCTTCCAGGGCCAGCTCCCGGCAAGCACTCTGAAGTACACAACTCCAGCCATTTCAATGCCTACTCTCAAACCAAACCCTATCTTTGTCGATCACTGAATTCCCTACCATCTAATAGATAAGAGGGGAGGAGAGCCCAGGTCCTCGATGATACCATCTCTTCCCTTTCTCAGACCATAGGAGGCACAGAGAAAAGGGTGTTCTGGGTTATTCTAAGAACTGGCGCATCTAATTCTCTTCTCAGAAAGTCTCTTTCCTCTCTGTAATGAGTGAACTAGAGAGACCCCGCGAGGAACGTGGAACGTGGGCAAAGAGCATGAACTTTCCAAGTTCTGTTTTTTTCTTTTCTTTTCTTTATTTATTTTTTTCCGAGATAGGATTTCTCTGTGTAGCCTTAGCTGTCCTGGAATTCGCTTTGTAGACCAGGTTAACCTGGAACTTACAGAGCTCTACCTGCCTCTGCCTCCCTGAGAGCTGGGAGTAGGGGCGAGTGCCACCATCGCCCTGCAACTTTCAAGTGTTTCGGCTGCCCCGTTCCTGGTGTAACTTCACAATATATAAAAATTGCATATGGCTCAGAAGGCTGCTAGACTACAGTAAATAATACTCGTGTAGTAAATGTCACGATCACAACGACATCATCCCAACCCCAATATTCAAAGTGTTCCTTCAGTGGGTTCCCTCGTAAATGACTTTAAGTCATCAAACGCACTCAGTGGTTTGGACCTTTGAATTTTGGCACAATAACCCTCAGGGAGAAAAATCGGAGACTGAGTGACAGCCATGACAGCGCCTACAGAGTTCACAGCCCCTCTCTTCAGAGACCAGAGCCCGGGAACTGCCCGGACCGCCCACGGCTACCACCATTGGCAGCCTTCTTGCTGGCGTGACTAAAGCCCCGCCTCCTTCCCGCTGGGACCACTCTGAGGCGATCTCCGGAAGCGGAGGGGGTCTAGAAAAGGGGGTCGCGAGGCATCCTGGGCTTTGTAGTCTGCCTGCGCATCTGCCGCAGGAGAGTAGAGCCTCACGCTGCAGAGAACTACAACTCCTAGCAGCCTCGCGGAGAGTGAGGCGAGGGGGCTTGAGTCACGTGGGCGCTGGGCCTGGGCGGGCTATTTC